GGGAAGGCGGTGACTCCCCGGGGGCAGCTTCGCCCACGGCTGCTCTCCCCGGGTGAGGCGTCTCTGTCCGCGTGGGCACAGCTGATTCCGGGCCGCTGCTGCCTCGCCAGGAAGAGTGTGGGGCTCTGCCCAGAGCCCCTCCCCGTGGGTCAGTCCCCCACCACCCCCACCTCTGGAGGGAGACTGAGCCCCAGGGAGGCCCCCACCCCCCCCCCCGTTCTGACTCACGGGAACTTGGCGAGGGATGTTTGCAGCTACCAGCCGGGCCCTCCCACGAGGGCCACGGGAGGGGCACTAGCGGGCGCGGAGGTGGCATACCTGAGAGATGGCAGCATGCGAGTCTAACAGAAACCAGAACTGTTTGCGGCATTTCCCAGGGAAGATGTCCCCGAGCATCCTCGGAGGTGCAGCCGGGGCGTGGGAGCTCCGTCCCCCCGCTCGGGGGTGGATGTGAGGGGCCATTGACTTGGGTCCGGCTGGCATGTGTGGGGGCGGGGCTCGTGCCGCTTCTCCCCACGTAGCGCCAGCGGCAGGGACGTCCCTCCAGCGCCCGGCCCGGGCGGTGCAAGGAGTGAACGGACACGCGGCAGGGCTCTGCCTGGCACCCCTGCCCCTTTGCACCTGCCACTCGGCGGAAACCTCTCCTTCTGCTGCGCTCTCTGCCTCTCCACCGCCGCTGAGTTGACCCCGTTTTCAGAGCCCCTTTCTCCAAGCCCCCCCCCCATCACCGAGCGCTGGGGATGAGGCAGCTGCTGGCTTCCTGCCGTCCCCTAACTCGATTATTCCTGGACGCGTTAGGCAGCCCGGTGATGGATAGTGACGCTGGGAACCCCTTCCTTTGCAGCGAGGGGGGCGCGTGGGATGCTACGAACAATAAAGACAGAAGCGGCCCCGGCCGGTGTCTGCTTCAAGCACAAGCTGGTCTGGGCACACGGAGGCCAGTGCACCCCGGGCAGGCCCTGGAGCTGCGCCCCTGAGCCCGAGGCCGCGGGCCGGCAGGACGGGCTCCAGAAGAGGGGTGTGCAGCCTTAAGGCCACGAGACTGTCCCCCCCTGGCAGGCACCGCCAGGTTCAGCTGCACCCGAAGCCCAAGCCGGGCTTTTCAAGATTTCAGGTCAATCCGTATTTAAAACGTAATGAATCCAGCGCTGTGCTTAACCTATTTAAACCTCACCCACGGTGATGACCACACGCGGGGCTTTTCCTCGGCGGGGCACGCCCCTCCCCCGCGTCGGGTGGCCTTGGGGCTGGGAGAGGAGTGGGGCGAGGTGGGCTCCCGGAAAGTGGCGAAGTTTCGGTTTTCAGCAGGATTGGGGGAACCAGGGCAGGCCGGGTCTGCCTGTGCAGCCCAGCGTCACCTGAGCGGTCAAGAAACACACATTAAATTTGGAATTTTGATAAATGCATATTCCTAGCGAGTGAATCAAATGTATTCAATTAACTAAAACCCTGTGCACTTCTGAACTGAAGTGGAATCGACTGTAATTGATTTATTTGAAACCAGAGGTTAAGGACTGAATTAGCTAAGTACAACTGGGTATTTCGAGCCACTGACTTCTCAAATGTCAAATCCCTTCTATTTTAAATATTAGTTCAGCTGCGGGGCACGGCAGCGCTGACGGTAGTTCCATCAAGAGCCCAAATGATATTCATATTCGATTTGGGGAGCAAGGGGTGGCTCGGTGCTTTGTAAAGGGTGCGGGGGACCGGGGAGGGTGAGGAGGGCCACCTGGAGGGTGGTGATGAGCGCAGCCCCGCGCCCTCCCTTTCGCGGGGTGCATCTCCGCGGGGTGAGGTCCCAGAGAACCGCGAGCCCGGCAGGTCAGCAGCTCCACCTTGGAGACACTCCGGGGCCTCCGCAGGGAGAGCCAAGCCCACCCAGCCCGGACCCCGGCCCTGACAATCATTTTCCACATTAACCTCTGCGTGATCCCCCGCGCCTCAGCTCGGCGCTGCTGTTTGAAAGGGGCCGAGGAAAAGCCGAGCTGCCCCCGGGGTCCTGCAGCTGTCCAGCGCCGGCTCCGCACGGGCCTCCTCTGCGCCGGGAACCTTTGTTGATTGTGACCTCGGGAGATTCCGGCCGCGGGGCCTCTGCCGGCCTCGGCATGGAGGATTAGCTTGGGGTGGGGGCGTCCGGGAAAACCAGCGTCTGTAAATCCAGATAGGAATGAATGGTGTTTCATAAGATTGTTTTCGTTTTCCAATGAGTATTTATGTGTCGTCGGAGAAGGAGCGGCGCGGAGGCTGTGGATGGCAGCGATTGCGCCCGAGGTGAGGATCCCCACACAATCTGAGATGTAGCCAAGAAAAACTGCCTGCCGCCCATGCCTCACTACACCTGCTCCGGAGCTGTGTGCATTTCATTTCTGTCAAGAGTATGTACAGTTAGGGTTCATTCGCCTCATTATTTTGTTACATCCACGTTACAGTTAACCAGTCTCTCTAGGAAATAATAAATAACCGCTTTAAAAAACAATTGCCGCCTTGCGTTCTGAGGATACACTTTCCATTTGAATTAAAAAAAAAAAACATGGTTATGAATTCTCTGGCTTTGGAAAATAGAATTTAGACTCCACCGGCTCTCATTGGTCTGCGGAGATTGATTTTACAGCGCCTTCCCCGAGCAGACCCGGGCAGCAGCCGCGCCGGTGGCCGCCGTCTGGGGCTCGCTCTCCGCCGGGCCGCGGGATGTCACCGGGACGGCCGCCCCAGCCGGCCACGTCCACCCAGGCTCTTCCCGGGGCCCCAGCTGACCACCGCCCTGCAGCCCCTCCAGGCTTCCACAGCGCGGGCTTCGCCGCCATCCCCCTGCCAGGGCAGGAAGTGCTTCCTTCCCCCAGCCCTGCGGAGACCGAAGGGGGGTCGGGCCCCCCACCCCACAGGCCCGGCTGTGTTTCCAGAAGGTCCGAGGAGGGCCCCCAGGGCATGGGTGGGGGCACAAAGATGCAGGGAATCCAGAGAATGCCTGTGCCCCTCTGCTCCCCAGAGCTGCTGAGCTCACAGAGCAGCGAATTCCTGGCTGAACAAAACAGTAGCACCCACTGACACACGGGCTGCCCGCGCCCCTCCACGTGCATCGGCCTCGACCGCGGTCTCCTGCCCAGCGCAGGGGCTGGCTGGGGCTGCTTCCTGCGTGTCTCCGCCACCCAGGGGGCCAGGCGGCCGAAGGCTGAAGGTGGAGGCCGGAGTTCCTTTGTGCTAATCAGCAGCGCAGCCCTCAGCTCTGCTCGGAGACCGACAGGCAGATTCCAAAGGGGTCGTGGGGGGCAGGGGGTGGGTCTGTGCTGTGCTCAGTAGCTTCCTCGCCCTCCAGAAGGCTCGGGCCTGAGCTTTTTTGTTTTGTTGTTTAATATATATATTTTGGTTTCCAAAACACAAACAAAAACCTAAAGGATCAACATAAATAAAATAAAACTTTATTTTTAACAATAAAATTAATGTTTCTAGTAAGGAAAAGATAGCATGTCATTCCTTTCGCAGTACAATCTTTTATCCAAAAGAATACATTGGGTTTTATTGTGTCATTTGTCTGAATACAGACTCAGTGGAATATCTAAATGATACCCTGCTCTGAACTCCAAGTTGAAAGTAAGTTTTTATTATACTTGAGGGGAACAATGGGTTCAGCTGCTTATTGCAAGGAGCAATTGCCCAGGGAAAGTTAAACTCAATTACTGTAACCATACTGAATAAAAATACTGCCAAGAACAAAAATACGCCTGGGCAAAGACAGCCACTGAATAAAAAAAATCGACATAAAGCGTATCAAATATTTATTTATCTGGGCAACAAAGGACTATGATACATTGACAGGCATGGAAACTATTGCCAGCACAACGCCACAGTGAAAATACAGAATACCAGGTGGTCCCAAATGCTGCAAGGTCTCTGAACAAAAAGAGAGAGGCAGAGAGAGAGAGACAGAGAGACACACACAGAGAAAGACAGGGAGACGCAGAGAGAGAGACGGGTGGGGGGGGGGGGGGGGGAGCGACCCCTGACCCTTGTTTTAGACACAAGACTATTTATTGCTCAAATAATGGTTTTCTGGAGGGCAGTGGGATAAAATAAACTTTTTCTCCCCACAATACACAGAAGGGTCATCAAACCACTCAAGTTTAAAAACCTTTCCAGGGTCAAATACCACTTTTTTCCCCTTCCAGTCCAATGACAAGCTAAGTGTCATACTAATTATATATAAAATTTTATTTTCCTTTTTTTTTTTTCCCGTGTGTTCGGCTGTGCGTCATGTTTACATGCTACGACAGGGCGAAACTCGTGAATCCCAAAGGAAAAACAAATCCCCCGACCTTGGCTTTCTAAAGAAGTACCTGGAAGCACAGGAAGAACTAAGAGGAAGGGCCAACCCACTAAGCCAGAGGTAAACAAGATCACCAGATAAATAAAAAAAAGGCTTCAAACAGACTCACCATATTTACAATTCCCATTAAATTACACATAAATAAATATATACAGAGACGTGAACACTGATTCCCTTATGAGACTGTGAATCGTGTCGCCAGAGAAAGTTCGAGTCGCAGCTTTACCTGGAGGGGCTCCCGGGCGCGGGCCTGTCCCCCGCCCTGTCCCCCGCGCTCGCCCCGGCGCCCGGCCTCGACGGCTGCGGTCTGGAGCGCGGAGGGCGGTGGTGACTCTGTGAAGCGCCTGTCTTTTTTTTATTATTATTTTTACGTCCTTTTTTTTAAGAAAAACATTTTTTAATTATTTTTTTTTTTTGACGCCGTCGCGGTTTTGTTTCCGTGTTTTAGAAAAAGGTTCACGAGCGCGGACAGAGCTTTCCCGGGCGGGCTCCGCGGCCTGTTCTGTCTCCCAGGCTCCACGTGAGGGCCACAGGGTGCGGGTGCGGATGGGGAGGTCGAGGCAGGCCGAGTCGGGGCGGCCCACGGGAGACAGTCCCCGGCCGGGCGGCGGCGGCAGCGGCGGGTGGTCCGAGCCGTCACCCCGGGGTGGGGGTGCGGGGCGCGCGGCGGCAGGTGGCCTCACTTTCTGTGTTTCTCCTCCTTGTCGCTGCTTTTGGTGCTGCTGTCCGCGTGGCCGCTGGGGTTGTTGCTGAGGTACATCTTGTCCATGGCTTTGAGGGCCTCGGTGAGATAGTTCTGCAGGGCCGTGACCGCCGCGCACACGGCGGGGCTGCCGAAGCCGTGGGAGATGAGGTTGAAGTGGGTCAAGCAGCTCTGGATGCCGGGCTCCAGGATGGGGTTGGGCCTGGAGTTGCCCAGGGGGGACCGGTCCTGGGCCAGCAGGTCCGTGAACTCTTTGCAGATCTGTCTGCAGCACAAGGGGGCAGAGAGAGGGGTGAGGCCCTGGGCACCCCGGCACCCACTTCCCCAGCTGCCTGCCCCCTCACACACCCGGCCCTGGCCCCTTCTAGCCCTCCTCCTGCTCACACCAGCAATCCCAGGCCTTAGGGCTGGACAGCAGAGAGGCAGGAGCCCCCGTCCTGCAGGCCTCACTGTCCTACGGCGGCTTCTCCAGAGAGAGCGGGCAGGCCCTGGGTCCTCTGCACCCATCAGGTAGGCCTCCTCTTCCCTTTTTTTAAAAGATTTATTTATTGGGCCTCCCCGGTGGCACGGCGGCTTGAGCGCGTCGCTGTGAAGCTGTCTGCAGCCTCTGCAGCGCGGGTTCGATTCCCGTCTGGCCAGGGAGCTACCCACATGGCACAACACACCTTTCCTGCCTTGCCCGCTGCTCCCCTCAGCAGTGTATTTCAGTCCGTCTGCCTGTTCTGCTCCCTGCTCTGTCTCTGGTGCATCCTCTCACCCTCCCGTGCCTCTGGCCTGGACCCCAGCTCTTGTATAAATAATAAATCTTAAAAAAAAAAAAGTTTTATTTGTGTACACAAGAACTGGGGTCCAGGCCAGAGCTGCGGGGAGTGAGAGGATTCACCAGAGACAGAGTCCTCCTGACTTTTAATGAAAGGTGCGGAAGACCCGCTCCTTGGGGTAATTCGCGAGGGGGTGGGGGAGAAGAGAGGCCCCTTTCCACCTCTCTCCTCGCACAGCGGAAATAGAGGAAAATCCTCCAGGCAGACTGTGCGTGTGGGTACACCCAGGAAGCTGCAGGCAGGCCAACCGAGATGGCCCACATTCTAGAAGCTGGACCTGAGTCTGGGAAGGCCCGAGGGGTGAGTGGGGGTGCTGGCTGAGGGAGCTCTCCTTGGGGGCAGCCCTCCCTAGGGGGAGCCCTGGTTAGCCCGGCCCCAAGGCCTGGTCGTCCCCAGGCCCGTGAGCATCGGCCTCTGCCTGGCTGGCCCCACACCCTCCTTTAACCCCAACTTCGATAATTAAGGGTTTCCATCCACGCCTTTAATTCCCAGGAAACATAGCAAAACAGTCGCTTTTTTGCTCACACTGCCTGGAGATGCCCGCTGGGCCGGCACCCGCGGGACCTAGCAGACGTGGCCCGTTTTGAGACCACTTTGACTTCTCGCCCGTGGCTCGAACTTGTGGCCCCCACACTCGCCTGTGCTGTGCGTGTGTGTGCGTGCATGTGCGTGAACATGTGCAGGTGACCCCTCCAAGGGGACAGGAGGAAGGTAAGGCCCCAGCTCAGGGGTTAAGGGAAGCCGGGACAGCCTGGGCCTCGCACGCCGGGCAGCCCACTTGTTGACCCTTCCCTGAACATCCCCACAGGTCACGCCACTGATTAGGGTGAGCACAAGGCCCCAGAAGGCCCTGCAGCCAGGGCCTCACACGGGATCCCCGACCCCCTTGGCCAGCCCGGCCTGTTCAAGAACCGAGGAGATGGGGGCAGAGACAGACACCCCCTCACAGGCTCCCGGGCCCTGCCGGGAAAGGGGATGGCGGGGCTGTGGCTTCAGGGTTTACGACAAAGGGGAGAGGCCCGGGGCGGAAGGCGGCCCTGCCTGGACCGGGCAGGAGGCCCCACGAGGGCCCCGCCTTACTTTGTAGCCAGGAGCATGTTCTTTCTTGTCACTTGCTCATTGGGATCGGAATGCTGTCGGTTGAGAAATTCAGCTACTGCTTTGGCAGGAAATTCGGTTTCGCACACGTACCCGAAGTCCCTGGCCAGGTGGACAGCTTCGCCTGGCAGAGAGGGGGCAGCGGGCAGGAGAGAGACGAGAGCTGGAGTCAGCACACTTCAGGCGGGGGCGGGAGGGAACGGGCACCGGGTTCTGCTTCCAGGCGGAGTTCCTCCCCCGGCCCGGCCCGTGGCTGCATTTACCCAGGAAAATGGCTACTGGTCCATCCACAGGGCCAGGAAACCACAATGGCCTGTCCCCTCCCCCACCCCCGGCCATTTCCCCAACTTCTCTTTAAAAATTCTTCTGGCGTGGCAACCTCACACCTCACGGGGCAGCACAAATGATATTCATGATTGCCCTGGGCGCTCCTGCCTGGGGAGGACGGGGCGTTCACATTTTAACTTGATCGCATGTAATTATCTGTTCATCCAAACCGATTAACCAGGAGGATTTGAGGGTCAGTCCACTGAGTCTGTCTGTGTTGTTGATTTTCGAATCTTTGGTTTTAATTTCCTGAACCAGTTGGTTTTTACTGCAGGGCTTCCTGCCATTAGCTCCAGCCGGAAGAACGCATGCGCCAATTACAGCATCAAAGCCCTCTCCGCAAGCCTGTTTCCATAAAATGGAGCGGATCACAAACAATAACAGTTCTCCAGAAGCGGCCTCCCGGCAGGGCTCAGCCCAGCCCCGCTCGCCTCGCGCTGCGTGCGCCCTAAGTCACAGGCTGCCTGCTCTGCCTTTCCTTCTTCTGGGGGTCACACTTGCGGGCTCCCTGCCCCTGCCAGGCTGTCTGCAGTGCTACTGAGCTGGCCTGTCCAGCACTGGACAATTACTTAGCATCTAGCAGTTCCTCTGTCACCGCCTTCACAGCAGGAACCCTGGGCAGCTGCACGCTTTCCGGAATTTACAAAGTTAGAGCTGAAACCCAGTGTAACGAATGTCCCCCAAGACAGGTAAGATGCCTTCTTTAAATATAAATACAGTGGCAGCTGTGAGGGCTGCCTGAGAATGTGCATTTCCACACACACCCCACCCCCCCACCCCGCCCCCATTAGTTTAAGAGATTTCCAACAGGACACAAAGGAGGACACCAGAAGAGCTGAGTTCATTCGCACACACCCAATCTTAGACCCATTTAGAATGCGAAAGAAGCAGGGACCTAGTGGCTGAGTCTAGAGCAGGGAGCCAAGACGGGGCTAGCTTTTGTTCTGAGGGGCTCGGAAGGCTGCTGGCGTGTGTGCAAAACCCCCAGCAGCAACTTTTTGCGATGCTTGTATTTCTTTTTTTCTTTCCCAAACAACCCAAAGTTTAAAATGGCTTTCTGTTCCTTCTCCTCCAGCAGAGAAAAACAATTAAATGAGTGATAAGACAGCATATGTTTGGAAAACAAAGACCTAAAGGGCGTCTAACCCTGAGCTTTCAGGATGGTCTTAAATCAGGATGCAGGTCAAAGATTCCCAAATTAATTCAGGAAGTAATGGTCACGCATTTCTCAAACGCAGATGTCAGAATAGCTTAAGTGATTTACTGCTGAGCTCTTTAAAGGAACAGGAACTTGGAGAATAGGAACTTCTTAAATGCTCATGCTGTTTAGCTCAGAACTGGGCTGGGGAGGTGTAATTTTGTGGTGAGGGAAAAGAGAAGACAGGAGTACTGTTATGCAAACCGTTTTTCGACTTGCAAGAATTCTGCTCCCACCCTGTCGTACTGGGGGGTGGGGGAACAAACTGCCCCTTTGCCACCACATACTTCTGAACATCTGGTCACTAAGTGGTGCCCATTTTCCCAGGAGACCGTCCCTTCTTATCCGCTTACCCTCTACTAGCGAGGTGAGCAGGGTGACGTTGGCAGCTTTGCGTCTCCCTGCCGGCAGATTTAATCCTATCTTGTCCAGTTTTTCTCTTAAAGATCTTCCTCCATTTTTAGACTTCGCCCTGTTTCGCAAATATATTCAAGAAAGGGGATTAGAAAACACCAGACTGTCCTCCTGACGGCGTCCTAAAATGTGCTTTTAAAAATGAGGAAGCAAAGGGCCTCCCTGGTGGCGCGTGGTGTTCAGACGCAACCTGTGAAGCTAGCCACAGCTGCTGCAGCGCGAGTTCGATCCCCAGCCGGCCAGGGAGCTGACCCACATGGCGCGGCAGACCTCTCCTGTCTCCCCGCTGCTCCCCTCAGCAGCGTATTTCGTCAGTCTGCCTGTTCTGTTCCCCGCTCTGTCTCTAGTGAAGCTTCTCACCCCCCACATCTCTGGCCTGTACCCCAGCTCTTGTATGCATAAACAAGTAAATCTTTAAAAAAGAACAAAATGAGGGCAAACGCCCCGAACAAGTTACAGGAGGGAAACCCGGGAATGCCAGAGGGCCCTGGGAGATAAAGCCCTGTCAAGCGGCACTGCACTGTGCCTGCTTATTACTGTGGCAGGTTGGAAGGTTTTGATTTCCCAGCTCTCGCAAGAACCACAAACAGACACACACATCTCCCATCTCTGGGGCTTGAGGTATTTTTGAGTTCAACTGATTACTGTATATTTTCCCTGTTGTTACAATCACACAAATCCCAGTGGGGTCTTTAAATCGTCTTTGCAAGGTCTGCTGTGAGGTTGTGCGCAGTAACCAAAGTTATCATCATCTCGCGTTCCCGCTCGGGCGTGGGCCCCGGCGGGAAATTCATTTCGCCAAGTGTTTACACGCCTGTCACCAGCCTGACTGGAAGTGTCAGGGGCTGCCATCAGCCTCTGAAACCGCCCCCCACCCCTTGCAGAGAGAGTGCAGGCGGGTCTACACAGACGTCTAAATAGACGCCCAGAATCGGGAAGGGGTTAAGGCAAGTTGCTTAAATAAAACAGCAAATTAATTAATTTCAGATTTTATTCCCTGCTCCAGGGCTCTGTGGCTGTGCGGGCCGGGTTCTCGCCCCGGGTCAACAGGCTCCCACACGGGGCTGGGAGCCCGGGAGCAGCAGGGGCGGCCTCGGGGTGTCAGGGAAGGTGGGGGGGGGGCGGCCGGCGACTGACCGCGGGGGGGGGCGGGGGCTGCTCAGGGGGGTTCCCGCAGAGAGGCCGCGGGGCCCACACGCAGCCGCCAGGCCCTGTCCGCGGAGCGAGGCCCCCACCCCTCTTCCTCAGGAAAGGGCACACCTGGGCGGCGCCTCGCGGGCCGCACGTGGCCCGCAGGTGCCGCACCTGGGCCGCCGCGCCCCGCCCCCGGCGCCGCCCACCGGAGCCCGCGGGCCGGAGCCGCGCCGGGTCGCGCAGGTGGAGGCCGCGCAGGTGAGGGGGCGCCCGGGCAGGGCGGGCCGGGAGAGGGGCGGCCCGGGGGGGGGGCGGCGTCGGCTCGGGGGTCCCCGCGGAGGGACGCCCCACTCGCGGGCCCAGCGGGCGGCGACCGGCGGGGCAGGTGCGCCCGGGGCGAGCTGCGCGTGCGCGCGCGGGGGCGGGGCGGCGGCGCGGGGGGCAGCGCGCAGGCGCGCGGGGCCCCGCCCCGGAGAGGCCCCGCCCCGGCGCGGCGGGCGGGCGGGCGGCGCAGGCGCGGCGGGCGGGGCGGGGCCGGGCGGGGCGGGGCCGGGGGCGGGGCCGGGCGGGGGCGGGGCCTCACCTCCGCAGCACGCCGCCCAGCAGCGACGCGTTGAGGCACTCGGGCGGGGACAGGCGCCGCTGCACTTCCGCCACCGTGACCTTGTACTTGGAGGTGGAGCTGAGCAGCGACAGGCGACCCGGAACTGAACAGAACACCTCGTTGGGGTTCACCACGCCGCCGAACAGGCTGTCCTTGTTGATGGGGAGGGCGGACACGGCGTTGCCGCTGGCCTTGGACAGGGACACGGGGCCTGCGGAGACACGGGCGCGTGGGCGCGGGCCCCCCGGCCCCCCCGACCCCCTCCTCGGGCCCCCTCCCCGGCGCCCCCCGGCGGGAGCCCCCGTTCCCGGCCGGCGCCCCCGCGCGCCCCCCGCCGCGGCCGCCGGGACCCCCGGCCCAGGCTCTGGGGCTGCAGGTGCTGCGGGGTCCCCCGGCGCTCGGCAGCCCGCGGGAGCCGGGGCGCAGGGCGCGGGGCAGGGGTCCCCCTTGCAGGAGCAACAGGAGCAGTTGCGGGAGTTTGGGGAGCACGAGGCAGGGCTCGCTGCAGCAGTTTGGGGGGCTGAGGGCAGAGGACGTGTGCGCCTGGGGGGCCCCGTGGGAAAGCGGGGCGCGGGGGCAGCCCGCACCCCGGCCCCGTGCTCGCTGGGCCGGGGAGACTCGAACCCGCCGCAGGCCCGGCCGGGGCGCGGGAGAGGGGCAGGCCCGGCCGCGGGGCGCCCGGAGGAGCCGGTGCTTAATGGCCCTGCTGCGATTAGGCGGTCCGTGGGGGGTCGGGCGTGGGCCGGGGGTGCGGCCTCCCTGGTTAAAATCCGAAAGCGCCTTATTGTTGGACCCGCCATCCTTAGAGGGGAGAGGCCAGCCCAGACCCCAGAGGGTGCGCGCCCGTGGGTGTCGGCGCCCCGGGCCCAGCCGGGCGGGCGAGCGCGTCCCGGTGAAGCTCCACGTGGAGACAGGCCGGGCCCTCACCACCCGCTCCTCCCCCTTTAATGGGATATTCTAGACGGATGGGGAGGTGGGGGCACTAAGGTTTTGGATAGATCACTTGTGACATTAATAGCTCTGGGGAGGCTAATAGAGACAATAGGAGTTAAACGAACTCTTGAGAGATTACTAATAAAAGAGCCAATTATCATGTCGACTTGGAAAGCGCATCTCTCAAGATTTATCCCTTGCACATCTAATTTGACGTGACAAAGACTTCACAGATGCAAAAATGAAACTTTCAACTCGCTAACAATATGCTGATTGGGGTTAGAAATGAGAGCACTCCGAGAGCGCTGTCCTGTCCCCTGGCGGTGCCCGGCGCCCCGGCGCCCCGGCACGACACTGCCCCGGCCAGAGGGAGCGAGCCGCTGTGGGCCGCAGCGGGTGCAGGAAACTTTACTTCTCCCCACACAATGCAAATTCCAGGTCCACCCAAGCCACTTGACACTTTCCTAACCATTGCTCAGAACAATTATGCTAATAATTCTGACATCTTTAAGATGCTAATTTTAACCAAAAGCCAAATTTTTGTTAACCTAATTTACAAAGTTTTAAAACCCTTAAACAGCTAATGAGAAATTAAATTGGAGAACATGCAAGGGCCCCCCCCCCACTGCTAAGGACTGCTGTCTTTTCTCATCCACCCTCACAGTAGCATTCAATTATTTGCACAATTTCAACACTGTACACTTCTGAACACTCGCGGCCCCTCACACAATGGCTGAACCAACCTATGAAACCATCTCCAAATTGAAACGCCTCTTCCAAGTCAGTTCAACTAGCACATATTTCACGTTTGTCCAGAGACCACTAAACTGAACGGTCAAATGGAGACTCAGAACAAAGCTAGTCTGTTGCCATCACGGACGTCCTGAAAGCCGAGCGTTTTAGCAGGGTTGGTCTGTGACCGTCTATTTGCTAATTCTGAGCCTTTAGGAAATCCTATTTGAAAAAAATAAATACAACTCTGCAAGTTCTTTTAAATAGCAGCCTGCCTGTAAGGACACGCTTGGAATGCAGAAGGAAATGGCTTACCTTTCTTAATTACAGTTTGATCTGGGATGTTAATACCCGGGTCTTCCACATGCTGAAACAAAAAAGGTACACATGGATGTAAGTGTGGGATCAAAACAAAAGGAATAGTCCGCGCGGGGTGGGGGAGGGGAGGGGCCGCAGGGAAGGCCCCTCCCTGCTGACATTTATATATAAACATCTCATCTAGCGTCCTGGAACCCGGCTTGGCGACTGGAGGGGGTTTCGCTGAGCAGCCCAGGCCGGTTCCACCCCCCCCCCCATCCCCAGCCCAGAATCCGCGTTTGCAGGGGGTGGGGGGAGGGAATAAAAACTTTCTTTGGAAATTAAATCTACTTTCGGAGCACCTAATCTTCCTCAGGCAGCTCAACCTTTAAAAAATGCACCTAGCTTTAGCCTGGCGCCTCGGCGGCTTCGGACGCTGCAGAAGCCAGAGAAACACAATAGAAGCAGCAGAGGCGGCGGGAGCCGGCCACCCCGGGAAGCACTGCAGGCAGCTCGGCCGCGGGCGAGGCACACGCACACCTTCACTGACGCGGGCGGGCAAGGAGGCTGTCTCCCAAGACCACACTGCCCAAGCTGGGCACCAGGCGGGAGCACGAGAGCCATCAAAAGCAAAACACCTTTCAGGCAGTTTGCCGGCTGTCCTGTCTCTTTCTCTCTGTCTCTCTCATTCTTTCATTCTCTCTCTCATTCTCTCTCTCTCTCTCCCTCCCTCCCTCCCTCTCTCTTTACAGATGGATGGGTATACATGTGTGCTAGAGTCCAAACGTGATTAGAAAGTAAAATGAAATCATGTTTTCTAATGCAGAAACTGACAGGCAATATAATGTCTGGCTGTGTTTACAAATTAGCGCCAGGGCTGCTGAGATAGAAGGTTTCACAATCGTTACCAAACACAGGCATTACCATTTAAAAAACTATTACTTCCTTCTCTAGTCTTTGTCCAACAATAATACTGATTCCAACATTTTCCATTCTGTCTTGGATTTATGCTCCTGTTAATTGCGCGTGATCGCAATGATTCCGGGTGGATGGTACTAAGTTGCTTTATTACAGGTTTTATTATACTCAATGCTCTCATTTGTAACTTGCCTAAAGTGCTTCTGGATTTAAGTATAATTAAATTGAGAAATGTTCAGAAATGACTACTGCTGCAGTTCTTGTGTTTTAACTATATGGGGAAATATGATCCCTTTATGTACGCACCCTAAACCCATAAAGTAAATGTAGTGTAGCAGGATACTTTTATTCCTGTTATTTCTAGCCCTTGTCCATACAGGGAGGACTGTTAAGTTTAAAACCCCACTGAGATATTAATGATTAAATAATTTTCACCATCGATTTGATTTTCTTAAACATTTAGCAGTCGTTCTTATTAAAGGCTCACAGTTGCAGCAGTGGGGAAATTGAAAACAACCCTTTTCCTGACCCAAATTCCTTTGAAAGAATTTTTTTCCTTAAAGGGTGGGGGAGGAGCGGCCACGGGGCTTCCTGGTTTTTTTATTTGATCTTTTGGTTAATTTCTCCTACAGGCTAATTTGGCCACAAAGAGTGACTACGCGGGTGCTAAGCATTCACACCAGTCCCTCTGGAACGCTCGTGCTAAGTCCAGCGGCTCTCGCGCACAGCCGAGCCCAAAGCCTGCTGCCGCGGCGTGTCACCATTCAAAGATTTCCACGGGGCGGCTCGGAGCAGGGGCAGCGTCCTAGGCGAGGGCAGCCGAAACGCTCCTAACTTCCAGTTTTGGCTTTTCATTAGTCTCTACTACGCCACGGGGCCTCTCCTCTCTCCCTTCCCAAGAAAGACATTTTTTAGCATCGGTTTCTAGAAGCATGTATGGACGGACACACACACACACACACACACACACACACACACGCCTGCTCAGCCCCGCAGCAGCTCTCTCCTGCTCACTTCCCTCCTGTCCATGCAAGGCTAGGAAACAGCCAACAAATTTCAGTGATTAACTGGGTCAAATGAGAGTTGTAATAAATTTTCTATTTTCCTGTGGAACTTAAATAATGCTTTAAATTCACCGAGCAAGCAGGTAAGTTCATCTGACCATTTTCTTTGCAATCTAATGCAGTCATCATTAAACTGTCAAAGGACATATTGCTACAATATTTGATGCAGTAATTTGAAATAGCATTTTAGCAAAAATCACATCCAGATACATTTCCTCTCGAAAGAAAAGCAGCATTAACAGGCCCTTTCCAGCTTTAATGAAATCATTGGCTTGTTCTAATTCCATCTCTGGAAGGTTGTGAGGAAACCATAAATATGTAGAACTGACATCGAGATGCTGGTTTAAATTTAATTTCAGAAAGTATTTTCAAATTATCAATAGCCCGGCGTGCGCCGTAAATAATACGTGTGCTAATACCATGCTCGTGGCGAAATCATCTCAAGCTGCAGTTATTGATAACTGAATTAGAACTCAAATAAGGAATTCCCCAACAGTCGCGCGACGTTTAATTTACTACGGGGGACAGCAGGTTCTGGTAGGCACTGGGAACCCGGCCGATGATTTACGAGGTCACCACTCAGCACCCCAGGAAGGGAGACAGCTGCGTTTTCAGTCCCTCTGCCCGGATTGCTACTTCTAATTCTCTCCTCGGGGCCGGCCTTCCCAGAACTTTCAGAAATCCCTCGTCCTCGAAAAGCCCGGTAACAATAATGCCCGAGTGTGTCTTTTCAGCTTCCTCTTGACTCGCCAAGGCACGAGCTCGGCTGGATTTAGGATCCCCGCGCCCGCGCCCCCCACACACACGCGCAGGGAGAAGCCCCCCGGCCAGGCCCGGCGGCGCAGCGAGTCGTGTCCCGGTGGAGCGAAGCCCGCGGCCTGGCGGGGACGCCCCGCGCGCGGGCATTGTCTGCCGGGGCGCCCGGCCCCTTTGTTCTAGGGGCGAACCCTCAACTGCTCTCTCGCAGCGGAATTCGGCCCTCTCCGCGGGCTCCCAGAGCGCGCTCCCCGCAAGTCAGAGGACATCCCGAGGCAGGAGGTGCCAGGGCGCACCCCGGCGCCCAGAGCCCAGTCCCGCGTCCCGGGCGGGTGGGGTCCCCGCGCGCGCGCGGCGCTTACCGGGACGTCCTCGATGGCGTGAGGTAAGGAGTGGATCGGGAGGTCCCCGAGCCCCGAGCCGAGCCCGTGCGGGCCGTGCAGGAGGTCCTCGTGCCGCCGGTAGTCCCTGCGCGGGTCCAGGCCGGACAGCTGGTGCGGCAGCCCCCGGTGAGGGTGCAGGAGCCCGGACTCTTGGCTCTGCCTCTGGCCGGGCCAGCCCGGGTGCTGCGGCTGCGGCTGCGCGTGCAGGGGGTTCAGGCTGTAGGGGTCGTTGACGTGGGAGTAAGGATCTTGTGACTGGGGGTAGATAGGCTGGTAGGGCGGGGGGAAGTAGGGGGGCTGGAAGTCGGCATTGGGGGTGTGGGACAGCGGCGGGGCGCTCGTGTAGGGAGATTGACCTACAGTGCCCAGCTGGGGCAACCGCGCCGTCCCGTTGCTGGTGCCGTCGTGACGGTCCTGCAAGAGAGCGAGGGAGAAGCGCGCGCGGTCAGGCTCGCCGTCCGCCCCGCCGGGCGCCGACACTCCCGCCCCGGCCCCAGCCGCTCGCGTCGGGGCGCACCCCGAAGTGGCCCGGGCGCACCCCCAGACGCAGGGGAGGCGGACGGCGAGCGGCTAAGACGCGCGCCCCGGGCCTTTCTCCGCAAGGGGGGACCAGCACCGGCCTCCGGCGCAGCGCGCGGGCCGCGGCGAGCAACCTCCCTCCTGCAAAGCGCGAATTCCCGCTACAGGGGAAGGCGCGGAGCGGCCCCTTCGCGCCCCCGCGACTCGCCGCTGCGGGCGCCGCGCTCGCGTCTGCCCTGCCCGGTTCCTGTGCAGCCAGGAGCGCGCGAGGCGGGCGAGCCCCGCGCCAGGAGGGTGTGCGGGGCGGGCAGCCGGGAGGCCGCCGGCCTCGGGGCGGCTGCAGGGGGAGGCGGCGCTGCCTGCTCCGCGGCGGCGGCACGAGCCTTTTCCGGCACCGGGTGGTTTGCGGCCCGGGTGGGCCGGCGGCCGCCAAGACCCGGTTGCAATAGGAAATTCGCCCTCACAGGCTTGGAAACGGAGGGGCGCGCCCCGGGCGGAGGCCCCCCGCGCCTCGCGCCCCGGCTCCGGGGCAGAAGCGAAGCCTGCCCGCCTGCCTGCGCCTCCCCTGCCGTCCGCGGGCCACGCGGGAGCGCGGAGGGGACCCCGGGAGGCGCTGGCTCCGGCCGGCGGGCGAGGGAGGCGCACGCCCCCCGCGTGGCCCGCGTGCGGATGGGGCACCGCCGAGCCGGGGCCGGGCGCGAGGACGCGGGTGGCGGCTGCAGCGAGGTGGGGCTGCGCGGCCGAGCGGGGGCCGGGGCCGGGGGCGAAGCACCGACCGGGGCGCGCGAGAGGAGAGCGGGCGAGCGGGACGCGCGCGGAAGGGGGTGCCGGGGACGCCCCGGCGCGGAGCCCGAGGCCTCGGGGGCGCCGGGCACCGGCTCTCCGGGGCGGAATTTCCGCGGGAGCGGGAGGGCGGGACTCACCATGGCCGAGAAACTGTGCACCAACATCTGCGAGGAGTCGGGGGCAACGAGTCAGGGTGGAAAAAGCCGAGCAAGCCCGCCGAGCCCCGGCGCCCCGCCGCCCGAGCGCGCCCCGCACAAAAGGGGCCGCGAGCCCCGCGCCACCCAGGACTCCGGTCAGGGCGCAGCCGCTGCCCCGCGCGCGGGGGCCGCGCTCCGGTCCATCCGCGCCGCAGCCCCGACTCGGGCGGCGCCGTCCGCCGGGGCGACCCGCGGGGCTGTCCTGCCGCGGCCGCGCGGTCCCGACGGTCCTTGCAAAATGCAAAACCCCAAACACCGAAAGAAGGAGAAAGTGCGCGCGCGGGTGGGCGCCGGTGCGCGCGGGTCCCGGGTCCGCGTGTCCCTCGGTCCTCGGCGGCGGCGGCGCGGGGCTGCGGGCGGCGGGCGGGGCGGGCGGTCAGCGCGCCCGGCGCTGCGGGGCAGGACGCCTGGAGACCCGGCGCGAGGCGCGGGCGGCGCTGGTGCAGTCCCGGCCGGCGCTCAGGGCAGCAGCCCGGCGGCGGGCAGCGCGGGCGCCGGAGACACAAAGCGGGCGAGGGCGCGGGCGCGGGCGGGCGAGCGCGCGGGGGGCCGGGGCGCGGCGTCTGGCGAGCCGCCGGGCCGGGGCCACATGTTCCGGGCGGCGGCGCGGCCGGAGTGCGCAGGCAGCGGAGCGGGCGCGCGGCGAGGCCGGCGGCGGCGGGAGTGTGTCTGCGAGCGCGCGAGGAGGAAAGTGTAGGCGCGGGCGCGGGGCCGGCGGCGGGGAGCGCGGGGGGGCCGCGCCGAGCGGGGCGGGCGGGGGAGGGCGCCGGCGGGAGGGGGAGGGGGCGCGCCGGAGGGGGCCGCGGGGGAGGGGAGCGCGCGGCGAGGACAATCAGTCCTGCGCGGCCGGGCGGACCTCGGCTCGCCGTGGGGGCCGCCGGGCGCCGCGCTCCGCCGGGCTCCGGGCTCCCCGGCTCCGCCGCCGCGCCTGGCGCTCGCGATCCGGCGGGCCCCGCGCTGCTCCCCCGCGGCCGCGCGCCCCGCCGGGCCCCGCCGCCCGCCCGCCCGCCCGCGCCGCCGGCCTTGGCCGCGGCCGCCGCTCGAGCCGCCCCGGGACGCGGGTTCGGACGCTCCGCCGGCGGCCGCTCGGGCTCTGCAGCGGGCGCGGGGAGGGCGCGGCGCGGCGCGGGGCGCGCGGAGACGCGAGCGGCCCAGCTCGGGCGCCGCCGGGGGGCTCCGGCTCCGGCTCCGGCTCGGGGCGCAAACCTGTCGGACTGGCTGGGCCGCCCCGGCCCCCCCCGCCCCCGCCCCACGCGGCCGCCGGGCCGGTCCGCCCGCCGGGCTGTCGGAACAAGCGGCCCCGGCCCCTGCGTGTCCCTGCAGCGCCCGGGCTGCGAGACACCCGAGCCCCTGCCCGGGCGCGCCGCCGCCGCCAAAGTTGCCGAAGCCGCCCGGGCCGCGCCGCTCCCTCATTTTCTCGCCGTCCCTGGCCCCGCGCGCGCTCACGCCCCGGGGGGACCGTCCGCTCGGGGGTGCGAGCGCTGCGCTTCGCCTCTCGGCCCCGTGGGCGCCCGGAGCGCCGAGGCACGGACCCGCTCGCCAGGGCTGCGCCCACCCGGCCGGCCGGAGCCCGGGCCGGGGCCAGAACAGTTCGCCGGGGAGACCCAGCCCGGCGTCTGCTCGCCAGCCCCCCGCACGGCCCGAAAACAAAGCGACCGGGCTCCGGAGGGGTCTCCACACGGCGCCGCGCGCCGCGGGCACCCGGAGAAGCGCCGTGGCGGCGGGTTGGCACCCCGGCCCCACGGGGGGGCGAGAGGGGAGGGCCCGGGAACAGCGCGAGGCGGGAGTCCGGAGGGGACCGGAGGGCGCGAGGCAGCCGCCACAGAGGCCCGGGCCCCGGTTTCCAGCGGAGACCAGTCCCGCCGCCGCGCCCCGGGCGTCTCCGCGACAGCCGCTCCCCGCGCCGGAGCCAGAAAGCGAGAAAAACGCGGCGTCGCAGAAGCCACCGATTTATCGAGGTGATCCCGGCGCCCCCGGCCCGTGGCTCAGCCCTCGCCGCGGCGGCTGTGCGCGCTCGAGGGCCGCGGCGCCCGCCCTGCCGAGGCCTCGGGGCGGCCGCGCGGGCTCCAGCGGCGCCGCCGGCCGAGCTGCGCAGAAGCCGGGCTTCCAGGCGGCTCCGAGGCGGCGCCGCCACCGCCCGCGGCCGGCCCCGGGCGCGCCGCAGCCCAGCGCCGAGGCCTGGGGACCCCGCCGCGCGCGCGGGAAGCGCCCCCGCCCCCCGCCCCCCGCCGCCCGCGGCTCCCGCGGGGAGAAGTCGCTCAGAACTTGGGGGATCGCGCGCGGGCCCCGCAGCCGGCCCCGCGCCTCTGCCGGGAGAGGCGGCCCGGGGCAAGCGCAGCCCCGGCGCACAGAAGCGCCTTTTCTTTCCAGACAGGGGAGCGGGGCGCACGGAGAGCCAGGGAAGGGGTGTGAGGGCCGGGGCGACGCCGGGAAGGGAAGGGGCTTCTCGCTCCCGTCTCGCCGCCCCGGGAGGCGGCCCGAGCCCGGCGGGGAGACCCGGGGCGCGCGGGCGCCCACTCGCCGCCCACCGCCGCCCACCCGCGCGGGCGCGGCCAGACTCGGCGAGGCTGGGCGGGGACGGGGGCCGCGGGCTCGGAGGGCGCGAGGCCACAGGGGGTCCGCCTCCCCCGGCCCCGCGCCCCGGCTCCCCGGGCGAGTCGGAGAGGCGGGCGCGCGGCGGAAACTTTGTCCCGGCCGCCGGCGCGGGAGAAGGAGCGGGCGGGCCGGGCCGGGCGGCGCCCCGGGGTGCGGGCCGGCGCCGCGCGTACCTCGCAGTCCTCGTACTTGATGTTGTCCGTCAGTTTCCAGAGCATTTTCATGGGTCGGCGTGCGCGGACGGGCCCCTCCGCCTCGCACCAGAGTGGAGCGACTCTCTGGTGAGCGCCCAGCGCCGGCGGCCCGCGCGGGCGGGGCGGGGAGGGCAGCGGGAGGCGGAGGGGGCGAGGGGAGCACGGGGGGGGAGGAGGAGGGCGCGGGGCCGGCGGCGGCGGGCGGCGCGGAGCTCCGGTGCGCGCTCGGAGATCTCCCTCTAATGGCAGAAACTTTTCCCTTTTCCTGCTCTTCACCGACAGCCTAATCGCCTCATTAGCATATCAACAATAGCCCAATTGCTCGCCAGCTCCGCGCGGCGCCGCCGGCCTCTCCAACCCGGGTATAAAGGCCTCCCCAGCCGCGACGCGCTCCCACAGCGCGAGCCCGCCCGAGCGCCCCGACGCGCCCCCGCCCCGGCCCACCCGCCGCCGGCCCCTCCGCGCGCGAGACCCCCTCGCCGGGCGCGCCCCGCGCGGCCGCTCCTGCCCGGCGCCCCGCACCCCTCGGACGCCCCCGCGGCCGCTGCGCGCGCCGTCCCCTCGGGTCCCCTTCGCGGACCCCAGAGCGGCGAGGTCGCGCCGGGATCTTTGCGCAACAACAGATCGCCTCCGCCTGCCGCGCGCCACCTCGGGCCTCGCGCCTCGCGCCTGGGGAGGTTTATGGGTTTCGCGCCTCGCCCCCTGGTTGGAGATTTTGCTAAACGGCTCCGGGTTTGCGATCGTTTAATTGCCGCGCGTAAAATAAAAAGTGTACCCAGAAGAGGTGCCTGGCAGCGCCAGGGGGTCACATGGGCTCTCGGGGGTGTGTGGGAGGCAGGACCCGAGTCTGGGCCCCGGCCGCTCGCTCGAGGCGCGCCCTGAGCCCCACAGGACGCCTGCGGAGACACGGTGGCTCCGACCTGGGAGCCTGCACTTGCGGACGCCCTCGCGCGTGCATCCAAATAAATCGCTGGGAACCAACTCTTCGCTGTGCTCATCTGCTCCGTTTTCCCAAGATCCCCCTTTTTAATTAAAACAGGGCGAGGCCCTTCATGATTTGGTGATGTTTCTGAGGCGGGCGCCCCGGGTGCAGGGCCCGGCCGGCGGGAGCCGTGGGCCTGGGCCACCCTCCTCGGGGCAGGCATGGGCCGGCGCTGCTCAGGGCCTGCTGCCCCGCTGGGACTTCACCGCTTTCTCTTCTGTTGCAGCGAATTTTTTAAGTAAGAAAGAAAAGAGAAAAGCAGACTGTGATCCTCCCCAGTAGAGCGAATCGATTTCTCGGGCTGAACTTTCTCATTTCGTCCATGAAAAAGTTTCTGTCTTTCTCCCTCTTGAGCGCCCCAACTCCCCAACTGGGGTCGGTGCCGCTCCTGCTCAGAGTCCCTTCAGTAAGCGCCCCTGAGCCCAGCTGGACCCTCCTCACAGATCTGCAGCCCACCCCCCAACCCACCCCCCGCCCCCCAAGTTTCCACAGTGTGTCAGTACCTGGGCAGGGAAGAGTCAGTTGCTGACCCCAGCGCCCCTAACAGGTGGAGGAAGGTTCTGGAGGGCCTTTCTCCCCATACCACAGCGAATCCCCCACTCCAGGGACAGTAGGCCATAGGCCCCCCCCCAAAGGACTAGAAGGAGCCTATAGTAGCAGGCGCCCCTGCACTGCTTCCCCCACCTGAACAGAGCACAGCCCTCGGTGGAACACAGCCCGGCGCTGGCCACGCCACGGCCCACCCAGGAAAGGGGCAGCTTCCCGGCTGCACCTCGCGCCCGGCGGGGCTGCCACTGGCCAGCAGCTGGACGCTGGGGGACGTCAGCAGGAGCACGGGCACCTTAGGGTGGCGGCTGGGTGGAGCGCAGGGGCTGCAGGCCAGACGAGGCCTGGGAGCGGAGCTGCAGGCCCGCAGGCAGCGCCACGGCGCGCTGGGAACTCGGAGTTTCGCTTTCTTTCTGCTTGTGGATTGAGGGAGGCGTCTGGGCCTCCATCCTCTCCGCTGGCCCGGCATACCCAGGGCAGCTCCCCGCCCACGGGCTGCTGGGCAGGAGTAGTGTCCTCCCAGGGCACCTGAGCGGCACCTGGGCCGTGCTGGGTGCTGAGCAAAGGCCGGATCCCCACGGAGCCTCCGAGCCTCGCCGCGAGAGCGTCATTACTGGGCCAGGCGCTTCCCTGCCTGCCGGGGCTCCCACCGCACGGCTCAGGCAGCAGCAGTGCCAGGCTTGGAGCTAGGAGTTGGGGTGACTAGGCCCGAGGAGGGGCCTGGGGTGAGGGAGTGAACAAGTACACTCGCAAGAGACAGAGACACCCGGGGAGACAAAGAGACACCCGAGGAGCCGGGAGACTCCATTCTCTGCTCTTGTTTTTATCCTGGGGCCCAGGAGCCTCGGGCTAAGCTCCCGGCCCCCCAGGCTCCAGCCCCACTGGAGAGCCAGGCTTCAGCCGAGCACCGAACCCCGCGCCCTTGGGAGGTAGGCCCAGGCCTCTCCTGCCCTGGCCTCACGGCGGGGAACCCAGGCCCGGGGCCCAGGCCGCCTGCCGGCCTCTCACTGCCGGGCCCTCGGCAGCAAAGCGCTCGCACCCCAGCCCCGGCCAGAGTCCCGCTTTCACCCCCCAGAGAAAAGACTGCATTAGGCCCCAGGCCCGCAGGCTAGGGAGGGCCGGCTGGGGCTCGAGTTTGCCGCGGGATTTGCAGCCCCAGACCACACCTTGCTGCGACTGTGCGCATGGAGTTGCGCTAGGTGGGTCCTCCGGGGGCAGGGACAGGAGAGGTCACCGTTCCCCACCAGGCATCCCAAGGAAAGGAAACGGCAGGGAGCGGCGAGAGGGGGTCTGACCTTTCCTCGGAGTGGCTCACTGTGGAATGGAGCCGAGCCGGCCCCGGAGCAGGGCCTGCCCCTTCCTCTGGCCTCGGCCACCATCCTCCTAACCAGGCCCGCAGGCCCGGTGGAAAATGCCCCCCACCGCTTGCCACCATCCAACCAGCCGCTGAGGCTGCGACCCTCACCCCCCTGGCCGGAGCCCCGGTTCCTTTAGGAAAGTGGGTGAGAGACTTGGAAGAAGCGCGGAGACAATCTCCCCCGCCGGTGGGGGGGTCCGGGCTCAGGGATCTGGGGCCCAGTGGCCTGGTGGTGCCCGGGGCCTAGGAGCGCCCAGCGCGGCAGGCACAGGCTTCTGCACCTTCTAGACCCGGCGCCTCATGGCCACCAGGACGCTTCTCCCCCATCCGCACCCCAAGAGGGCCGCCGAGGCTTCACCCGCCCAGCAGGCGGGAAGCTAAACTTTGTGCAAACTCTTGTAAGGATTTCCCCAAAGAACAGGCTCCACACCAGGACCGGCCACTCGGAGCCCCTTTCTGCCCCCGCGCCCCCTAGGTCCCCCAAAGCAGGGGACACAAAGAGAGACAGGTGCACCAGCCCCCCGCCCCCCCCTGCACAGCCCAGGCGCCCACGCCGCGCGGCAGCAGCAGCGGGATCCCTCCTCCCGCGCCGCACCCTGCCGGGCCCTCCCCCACCCCGGCTCGTCATCCGCCCCCGCTTCTGCCCCGGCGGGGGGCGGCGCGGGCGCGAACCTCACGTCGAGCCCCCCCACCCGGGCCACCTGTGGAGCCCGCGCCGGACAGTCCCGGCGCCCGGCCCGCCCGCGCCCCGCGTGGCCCCCGCGCCCGGCCCCCGCCCGCGCCGCCTCCCTCCGCGGGGGCCTCTCCCGGGCCGAGGGCGCGCCCCGCCGCGGCGCCCCGGCCCCGGCCCGCGCTCCCCCTCCGCCGGCCCCTCCCGCCCCTCCCCCGCTCCACCCCCGCCCACCCGGCCCGGCCCGCGCACCCCCCCGTACCTGCCAGTCCCCCATTTTGGCGAGTAAGGACATCGCGGCTCGGCGCTCCTGGCGACGGGTCCCCGCCGGGCAGGGGCCGCGGGGCTGGCCGGCCCGCTCCCTGGACTCGCTCGGGCAGAGCCTCCTTTTTTACCTGCTCGCCAGCATCTCACCTGGTCATAAAGAGCTGGGCTGCTACCTGCCGACGCATGCGCGCTGGCCCAGGAATTCGCTCCGCCAGCCCCGGCCCCGCGCGCGCCGCGCCGCCCCGGGACGTGATGGATTTACAGCCGGGCGCGCTCGCCCGCGGCCCCCGCTGCCCGCGGCCCCCGCCCGCCGCCCGCTCGGGCCCGGGCCCGCGCCGGGGCGCACGGCCGGCCGGGGGCGCGGGGCGCGCGGGGCGCGCGGGGGTGGGTGTGTTTCCGCGCTCGGGCATTGGGGGCGTCGTAGGCGCTGCCCGGGCACCCCTCCTCCGAACTTCGGGGCCGGGAGCGTGTCCGCCCGGGGGTGGGGGGTGGGGAGGGCCCGGCCGCGGCCGGCCGCCGAGGTTCTACGCCGGGGTGCGCGCGCGGGGCCCCGCCCTGCCTCCCCGCCGGCCCGCGGACCCGGGTCTGCGCCCCCCGGGCCGCTCGGGCCTCGCACCCCAGATCAAAGTGCGGCTCGGGAGCTGCGCCCCTTCGCGATTCGGTTTCATTTTGGCTTCTCGGGGGCGTCTCCTCCACCGCAGAGCGCCCCAATCCGCACGCCGGCACGCTCGCCCCCGCCCGCCCCCACCGCGGGTCGCCCCGCTCTTTATCTTGCCCACGAAAAACTTTTCCGAGGAGAATGGGGGCGTCGGGGCTGGGGCCGGGGTTTGCTTTCCCAGGACAGATAGCATCACTGCAGTGACTTCACCGCTGCTTCTAATTAGAAGGCAGCTCTGGAGGAAGCCGCGGGATGTGGGGCTCGGAGGCGCGCACCTCCGTCGGGAGCCACACCTGCGTGCCGGCCGCGAGGCGAGGTGGGGCGCCCCGCCCCGGGCCCCGCCGGGCCCCCGCCCGCCGCCCAGAGACCCGCCGGCCCAGGGCCCCGCCTGGCGCCGCGCCCGCCCGGAGACCCCCGGGCTGCGGTCGGTCGCGGGGCCCGAGAGGAACAAAAAACCGGTTTCCAATCGCCTCCGACGCGCGGGCGAATGTGTGTGAAAGGTCAGCTGCGTGCCGGGGAGTGGAGACGGGGCGCCCGCGCCGAACCCTCAGCCCGCGCCCCCGTGCGCCCCCGCTGCGCCCCCACGCGCCCCCGTGCGCCCCGCGCTGCAGCCGGCCCCGCGCCGATGCCCCTGCTGGGCTGAAGCTGCCCTGGACCTGCCTCAGAACCCTGTTCGGCAAGTCTGGGTTCTGCTTGTGGGCGTTCTGTTGTTCTGGCAGGAATTCTAAATAATTCCAAGTGCGGCGTTTTTAACCCGTCAGCGTCCACACTCGCTCGCCCCGGTTCTTTCCGGACTGTCGAAACAGAGTGGCGAAACCGAATTCTTCAAAGTCCACGGCGAGCGCAGGACTCGCCCGCGGCTCCCGGCGCTCCGGCCACAGGCGCTGCGCGCTCCCCCGGCCGGCGCCTTCGGCTCGCCCCCGCGCCCGCGCCGGACCCGGGGTGGCTGGGGTCCGCGGGGGGCCCGGGGGGGGGGGGGTCGGGGGCTCGAGCGCTCTCCCGCCCGGCTGCTGGGGAGGGAGGCCGCGCGCGCCCCGGGCTGGTCACCGGGCAGACAGGCCAGCGCCTTCGGAGGCCCCACAGCGAGCCGGGGCGCCAGGGCCCTGGGTGTGTTTGGAGCTTGGGCCCGGCGGGGTGGGGTGGGGGGCAGACCCAGGTATCGAGGGGCAGCGGGAGTTCAAATTTAGCTTCTGAGGGAGACCCTTGGGCCCAAACTCAGCCGCCCTCGCCATGTGGGCTCCTGCCCCGGGGCTGGGGGCTGAGCGCGGCCCTCGCTTGGTTCCTCCTCAGTGACAGTGGGTGACGGGCCCACCGGGAGGGCGTGTGCGCAGCCAGCCAGCCCGTCGCCTGGCCCCTGCCCGGCCTCAGAGGCTGTCCAGGCCCCTCCTCCCCTCCCGGCTCCAGGAGGGGTTCAGCTCCCCGGCCTTCTCAGGGACACCCCTGGACACTGTGGTCACTGCCCTTCCCCACACCCTCCAAGCTCCACGCGCCCAGGTGTGCTCTGCCCCCTACACTCCCCGGCCTCAGCCCCACCCCTGCTCCTCCCAGGCTCCCACCAGCCTGGGGCTGCCCCGGGGGCCTGAGAGGCAGGAGGAGGGTCTCTCCTCCCTCCAGCCGGCCAGGCCCCCAGCGAGCCAGCCCCGTGGCATCAGAACAGGCCCCAGGCCACCCCTCTGCCCTGGGTCACCCTCCCCGCCACTAGGTCTCCGGGTCTGCCGCCTGGGGCTTCTAGAGGTCCAGAGAACACAGACCTTCCCGCGAGGCTGGGGACAGGGGTCAGGCAGAGCACGGCTCCTCCTGGCCCTGCCCTGCCGCCACCTGCCAGGACAGGGCCCCCTCCAGGACCCTGCGCAGCTGTGGGGCTCCTTGCGGGCCACCAAACCCAGCGGGAGCAGGCGACCTGGTAGGGGTGACCGGCCCCTTGGGGGACGCTGGCCCGCCCAGCTCCCTGGGCTCCAAAGCTGCAGTGGGAACAACCTTCCCTCAGGCTGGGGAAACCCCACTTGGGCACCTTCACCCCCAGAGCTCCCTCCCGCAGGGCCAGGCACCAGCCTCGAAGGCACCTGGAAATCAGGGAGATCCCGGCACCCGTGTTCACTGCAGCGGTGTCCACTGGGGGGGTGGCCTCGGCTTTGCTTTCCTGGGAGGCCTCTGGGGCCCTGGGGAAGGTTGGTGACCCCTCACTCGCACCCCCGCCCCCACAGAGGCTCACGTACCCACCTGTGTACCTGAGGGAATCTAACCCCACATCAGGGCTTTCTTGGGGTCCTGGGGATATGAAGTGGGCCCCGGGGCTGGAGCAGGGACGGGGATGGTTGGGCTCTCGGGGGAGGCAGGGGAGCTGAGCTGACTGCCCGGCCCCGGAAAGCTGCTCACTCCCGGGCGGGGCGGGGAAAGGAGTAGGGCGACCTGGCAGCCCTGGCCTCTACCCTAGGAGCCCGGGGAGAGAGCAGGAGGGAACCGGCGGCCCTGACTGCGCCGGCCTGTGCCCCGGGGCGCACCTTATCTCGAGTGCTTGGAGCAGAGGGTGCCAAAGCTCCGAGGCCCAGAGGCCTTGACCCCGCGCTGCCCGGAGGCCGCAGGAGCACGAGCCGCAGGCGCGCCCTCAGCTCTCCCGCGTCTTCCCGTGCCCGGCAGGTGCTCGGGCCTCCCGCCCGCCGTGCCAGGGCCGCCGCGCACTGGTGCGGAACCACTATCGCCACGAGTTCGTGCTTCTGTTTACAAAGCAATCCTGCCATCAAAAGAGGAACAAAATCACCACTTATCACACCCTGTCATAAAGTAATCTGCCCCGAGGGGAACCCTAGCGGAGCTCCGCGCAGGCTGGCGCAGGGACGCGGAGGCGCACCCAGCTCTCCCGGGGGAGCCCCCCCGGGACAGCGCCCCCAGGCCTGGGTCAGCAGAGTGGGCAGCTGCGGTGAGGCCTGGCCCGCCTGAGCCTGGGCTGGGCAGGGAAGCCCCGACTCCTGTGGGGCTGGGAATCGGCCCATCCGCGCTCCCACTGCCTGGCTGCTTGTGGTTCACACCCTCCTGGCCCCCAGGGGCGGAGCTGGGAAGGCCCAGGGCTTGGGAACTGGGAGGCCCCTTTTCCCAGCAAGGCCAGCTCGGGCCCCAGGACAGAGCTCACAAATGCCTGAGCAGGGGAGGAGGGCTTTGCCCCCCTAAATGCCCTGCACACGCCCCCTAGCCGAGCACCTGCTGCAGGCCTGAGGACACTCAGACGCCCCCTGAAAAAGGACCAGGAGGGGGAAGCTGAAGTGCTGGGAAGTTACAGGCAACACCGTAGGGCACCCAGCCTTCTCCACCCCACCTGCTCCTCCGAAGGGGGGAAGGGAAGCCGGAGTCCCTGGAGTGTGGGGCCTCACGTGGCCCTTAGGAAGGGCCTTGAGAACGCACTCCCGCCCCCTGCTCCCCTCTGCCTCCCCCCAGGTTCATAACTCGCCGTCTAGAACCAGATCAGGCTTGTACCCCGGTTATCCTGGGCACCCCCCCCCCACTCTCCCGGCCTACAGAGAGATTTCTTCCCTGGGCGGTGAGTGTGGACGCAAGGGCCCCGCCTGGGAAGTCAGTGGTGAGGGGGCTCCCCAAGGCATCTGCTGGCGGGGAGGTGCCAGGGGTCACCCGTTTGCCCCTTTGGGGCAGACCCAATGAGCAATGCCAAACTGTCATTTGCATTTTTAAGCTGGAGGGGGCTCTGACTCATCCTTTGTAACCCCTTGGGGTTGACGCAAGGTGAAATGGCCAGGGTGGTGGTGTGGGGGGGTCCTTTGCAAAGACTGGCAGCTAGCGGGATCCCCCGGAGCAGGGTAGGAGAGGGAGTGGCCCGTCCCCTGGAAAGGGTCTGCAGACAGGGATGGACTAGGCTGTGTCCAAACCCTGCTGCCCGTAAGAATCAGCTAAAGAGTTTCTTTAAAAGTGTGCAAGTGACCCCCAAATCACCCAATCAGAGTGGGTGAGGACCCACGAGGCTCTAGCGTGTCCCCTCAGGTGATGTGATGTGCAGCTAAGTTTGAGACTCAATGCTGTGGCCAGAGTGGATGGCGGAGCAGCAAGGTGACCGGCCGGGAGCTTGTGAGAAGAGCAGACTCGGGGCCACACGCCCTCTCTGGAAAGCCTCAGAGCGCCCGGCCCACTGGAAGCGGCTGCCAACTGCTGTGCCCTCACTGGCCGGACCAGCTTCTCTTCCCCTTCAGCCTCAGGAGAAGCTGCATTCCCCAGTGGTACCCCGCCACCTTTTGGGGAACCTGGGAGGGTTTGGCGAAGTGCAAAAGCTCTCACCCAACCTCCCTGTAAGTGAATGACCCCACTCAGGTGCGAGTTTGACTCCAGCGCGAACAAGCGTGCACACCCCGGTGCAGGTGCACAAGTGCCGGCAAACCTATGCCTATAGGTGTGCATTCCGAGTCCAGTACAGGCGTGTCTCCTGAGCCCACAGGTGTGCATTCCGCGTCCAGTACAGGTGTATC